GAGTTTGGTAGGAGTCCCAGCATACTGGGCACTATGCAGACTTACCAGAAGATAAAGCCCTTCTCTGAAGGACTTACAAGCCTTATAATGTGTAAGGAAGGAGATTGCGTTTACCTATTTTTGTGCATTCAAAAACTGTGTTTCAGTTGTACTTACTTGCCCTTTAGCCCTTCTTAATTAGCTGTGGGTATCATAGAAGAAATGTATAGACATGGAGATCAAAATATTTTCTAAAATAGAAGCTAGAAAGGTTTGATTGTGGATTTCCCTTTCTTGTTTTGGTTCCTTTTCTTGCCACGTCAACATTTTTGCAGTTATCAATAGCATCATTGTATTGCTCATAATTACTTTCCGAGGAAGAACGCAAATATTCACTGTTTCTATTCAGACCATTAAAATTGCTCTATCAATCGTCCTGGTTTGAAAATTATAATAAATTCAGCCGTTTTTGTAGACAACAATAAAAACTTTCCAGCCCTCCCTCTCCCCTAGAACAGCAGACAAAGATAGGTAATAGCATTTTAATGAAGTCATGTTCTTGTTCCCTGAGTGAACTGGTCCTGTGGATGAACAAGAAGTCCAGGGGAGGTATAGTTCTCCCTGTTGTCCGAGATCAGTTACCAGCCTTTTACATATTTTATATTTTACCTAAGGGGCCTTTATATTCTGATAGCATCCAAAGCTTCTTTTAAGGCTGTGTGTAACCACACAGTGGAGGGCAGTAGTAAGACTTGCCCCCTCAACTCTTCACTGATTCGTTTGCTTTGAGGGCAAAGGTGTGTCTTCAACCTTCAGCTGATATTTCACACCTCATATGTTTGAACCCTGGTAAAGCAGGCTAGAAGAAAGGGCTAGAGGAAGTTAAATCCAGGTCTCTGCAGAGAGCTAAGCGGTGTGTTTGTAAAAGCCACTCCATCTAGTGGCAGTCACTTGGCACAGCTGGTCTGGCAGTGCCCATCAACAGCCGCCGATTCATGGGAAAAAAGTCTAAAATGGTGCTCAGCTACGGGTTTTCTGGTTTTGGTCTTCAAGATGAAAGATGCTTGAAATTTTTATCCGTTGTTTAATCCTTATCTGTAATCATAATTCATCACTTATTGTGAATTGCTGCATGCAGTCATGGAAATACATAGAAAATTTTGCGTGCCGGCGTCAGCGCGGGCTCTTCCTCATCTTTAATCAATGTTTCATTTCTTTTAAAGCTATTTTAAAATGACTGAGGTAGTAGAGCTCATTTAAGGAAGGGATGAAGCTGAGAGCTTTGGAGACTCAAAGGCTCTGTTGGAACAGTGGATTCCAGCAGGGCAGGGAGGCTGTCCCTTGGCAGGGCAGGGACACTCTCCCTCACTGCTGCCCTGCTCTCACAGGGTATTTCATGTAGAGATGGTCTTGGGTCCTGGGCAGTATGGGTTTGGGTTGAGTTGAACCTAACTGCAAAGAGCAGTGCAGCCACGTGACATGGAGTGTCCTGTTTTCGTGGGCACTGTCTGCTTGCCACTCCACGTTCTGACAGAAGAGCTAAGAGCCAAAATTTGTGTGGCACTGGCCAGAGCACGTGACCAAATGAAAAGACCAAGAACCAGACCACTGCTTTTGCCGTTGGCTTTTCAGTCTATGTCAAATCGTGCAACACTTCAGACTGTGACCTGGACTACCCTGATAACCACAGTGCCAAAGGTCTTGTTTTCACTGGACAGCCATGGAAAACCTTGCCGATCGCTTCAGTGCATTTCAGTGTTGTAGCTTGTACCGGGACAAGCTAGTATCTAAATTAAAATAAACAAAATTCCAGTAAAGCGCAATTCCAGATCAGGCGAATGGCTGTTTTACTGCAACTTTAATAAAAATCAACTGCTACTTGAATAGGTGCATGCACACATACTGCTCGAAATTTCCAATTATGATATTCCCAGCAGCAAACAAAAACAAAATTAATGTCAGCTGCATCCCCCAAAGCCTGAACTACACCACTAATGAACTCCCAAGTACTCTCAAAGAAAACTCTTTGCAGAGACAATAAGGTGGAAATTACTGTAATAATCTCAATGTAAAAATACAGAGGGAAAAAAAATCATTGAAATTCAGAGTAAGACTTGCCTCTCCTGATCCCATTAACCATGTTGTTAGCATAGCATATGCATGCATAGTGATATTGTCACATAACTCACTGCCACCTTCAAAAGAGCACGCAGGGATTCGTGTTCTTTCATTTGTATTTCAAACAAAGGTAGGGGTTGCACAGCGACTTGCACCTTATTCTGAGGAAGTCTATACTTAACATGACTCCAGCAGGGACCAGCCACCTCATAACAATTTGTTTGTCTGTCTAACAGAAGTGCTCAGTTGCATACAATTTTTGAAGCTTTACTCAAACATAATCTTCTCAACATGGGGCTGTGTCTTTAATCATTAAAATAGTTGTCTTCTGTCAGAAATAAGCTGGAATAACAGAGAATACCACAGACATCTTTACGTGTTTATAGAACTACTTGATTTATTTAATATTTTTGTGGTAGTCTTCAAATTAATAACACATTCTTCACTTCTGGATTTAAACTGGTGTTATAATGCCAAGTTTAAAGTTGCCAGACTTCATCCAAAGCAGATTTGTCAGTTGTCAGCAGGGTCATCTTTGCAACATGTAACATCTGCGAATTCTACCAGGAACAGCTGTAAAGCACCCTCTAGAAGAAAAGTACCTTACGTGTTAGATTATTGCTGTTCATTTTTGATGTGTGCTTCAGTGTCATTTCCCTCCATCAGTGCTCACACCCTCAAAATGAATTTCCTTAATATTGTCTGTCTGCCTAATAATTACATTGTTAGTTGCTGAGCAAACAATGTCTGCAAAAGCTGACACAGCCAGTATCTGTTGTGTGTTAGACTGTCCTGGTAAGGGTTGTTTATACTCATCCTTGTTTGCAGCACTGGAGTTGTAGTGTCTTCTGGAGGTCTGTATTCATATATTCCCTTTAACACTCAATGTCTAGGGCTGCTGAATCAAATGCGAAACTTTAAACAACTATGGAAAAAGTCTTGAGTGTTCAGATGCTATGTGTAAGTGCAGTATAAATACCTCATCCGCCAAATGATCTCTGCTTCTTTTGGAAATGCTCATGGTTTCTTCTAAGTATTGGTATTGTTGCAGAGAGGAATCATTTTCTTCTTTCTTTCAGTTTTCATGGTAAAACCGAGCTGTGGTCCCTACTGTGCAAGTCTCCTCTTTAGCAGTTGAGGTGATCAGTACTCTGGGTTTTGGCACATAATCTCTCGTGGCCTTTCTGGCCGTTTATTGTCAGTTGTGTAAAGTGAACAGGTTAAGTCAGTACAAGCCTGTATATGGCATTTGGGATTTCTTGAGTGTCACAAACAATTTCCTCCATTCTAAAAGCATGAAGAAGCTTGGTTTTGCTCCTGTTGCTGATGTAATCATCGAGATGTCCCATAGCAGATGCGGAATAGCTGTAGCACACCGAAGCAATGATTCTGCCTCTTATTTACATTCAGACCACTCTCAGCCACTCTGGTGGTGCAAGGGGGCCCTAAAGCAGATGTTCAGTGCGTATTCAAGGCATGTTAAATTGGCAAAGTTATATAACGGAGCACAGCGTAAGAAGAGCTGTAAGACCTGTCTGACATGTTGATGCATGCAAGATGCTCAGACACTGATGAGGGTGCTCTCCCAAGGGTACCCTGACCAGGAGTTACACCCTGCAATTGATCACCGTCCATGAGCAAAGGCTGGCATGAGTGGACTCAGAGACCACTGGCTACCTGGGGACCTTCTGCTGGGCTCCCCATTTCTGAGGGGGCAGAATGTTTTTGAGGGTGTCCCCAGTAGGAAGAGTTACATTTCCGTGCTTCTCACAGAAGCCTGGAGTTTTGGCCAGAGCTGCACTCTGACCAAGGCTTGGTGCCATGCTTTTCTAAGTGAGCGTGAACTGCCCTGATGGAGGCTTCTGATCTATGCAGATGGATCACTGATGCACTGACTGATTTAGGAGTGCTGGTCACCTTTCCTGAAACTGTGGAGAGGGCTGGGTAACAACCCACCTCCCCCACCTAGCTCGAACATCCCAGTTACCTTGGTTTGCTTAGCAGAAAGAAGGAGTAGGGTAATGAAGCTATATCCAGATCCTTATATTTGTAGATTAAATACCTTGCTAAGAAATTTGCAATAACAATTTCAGGATGTTAGTAGACCTCAGGTTGCTGTAACAGGGTTGGGAATATGCAGGCATACTGGGTGAACTGTGAAACTTAGAGTGCATGGTTCTTTCCCCATTCCCTCCCTGTTGTTAGGTTTTCAAAACCCTCAGTCCCTTTTGAAAGAAAAGCAATGAAGGTGATGATTGAGTTTAATGCTGCTCCTGCAGTGGCACTTGGTATTATCTAAATGAAGCAAGCCCAAGGAATATTGGTCTGCAAGGTACTTTGCAATCAGAAGACAAGTTCAGATCTAGAGAAAAATTTCTTTCTGCTGGAGCAGCTTGGAAGATTTTGATGAGAAATGAAAATTACTTTCCTGTGGAATACTCAGTTCCCTGTGCCTCCGTTTCACACATCACTTCAAGGGTAGATTTAGACTAGATATAAGGAAGAAATTTTTTACAGTTTTTTACACTGGCACAGGTTGCCCAGAGAGGTGGTAGAAGCCCCATCCCTGGAAACATTGAAGATCAGGTTGGACAGGGCTCTGAGCAACCCAATCTAGCTGAAGATGTCCCTGCTCACTGCAGGGGGTTTGGGCTAGATGAACTTTAAAGGTCCCTTCCAACTGAAACTGTTCTATGATTCTTAGTGTAATTCAATTTCAGTGAAATCCAGGTGATTTCTTTCTAAGTGCTTAACTCACCCTGATTCCCACAGGTGGTAAAGGCTAGACCTGTACTGAATGCAAGAGAAAGGTTGATTTTGTTTGACACAGTTCAACTAAGTTGTTTGTGGAGTTTGTCTCCCTGTTTGTCTTACTGAAGTCTGATCTTTTCCCCTTCTAGGATTTCTTCTGATGCCTTTTTCCCTCCCCCAAGTCTCTCTGAAACCAACAAGACTGGGGTTATGAAGTCAATCCTAGATGGCCTCGCAGATACAACTTTCCGAACAATCACAACAGATCTCCTTTACGTGGGCTCCAACGATATCCAGTACGAAGACATGAAAGGCGACATGGCATCCAAACTGGGATACTATCCCCAGAAGTTCCCTCTCTCTTCCTTCAGGGGTGATCCTTTCCAAGAAAAGATGACTGCAGGAGATGATCCCCTGTTGAGCATTATTCCATCAGATCAGGTCAATATCACAGAGTTTTACAACAAGTCCCTGTCCACGTTTAAGGATAATGAGGAGAACATACAGTGTGGGGAGAACTTTATGGATATGGAGTGCTTTATGATCCTGAACCCCAGCCAGCAGCTGGCCATTGCCGTGCTATCACTCACCCTGGGCACCTTCACAGTCCTAGAGAACCTTCTCGTCCTATGCGTCATCATCCACTCCCGAAGCCTCCGGTGTAGACCCTCCTACCATTTCATCGGCAGCCTGGCTGTGGCCGACCTCCTGGGCAGCGTGATATTTGTCTACAGTTTTGTGGATTTCCATGTTTTCCACCGGAAGGACAGCCCCAATGTCTTCTTGTTCAAACTGGGTGGAGTTACAGCCTCCTTCACTGCCTCCGTAGGTAGCCTTTTCCTCACGGCAATAGACCGGTACATATCTATACACAGGCCACTAGCTTACAAAAGGATTGTTACTCGACCAAAGGCTGTTGTAGCGTTTTGTGTGATGTGGACCATCGCTATTGTAATAGCTGTTCTTCCTCTGCTCGGCTGGAACTGCAAAAAGCTCAATTCCGTTTGTTCGGACATATTCCCTCTCATCGACGAGACATACCTGATGTTCTGGATTGGGGTCACCAGCGTCCTCTTGCTGTTCATTGTCTATGCCTACATGTACATACTGTGGAAGGCTCACAGCCACGCTGTTCGCATGATTCAGCGGGGCACACAGAAAAGCATAATCATTCAGTCTACAGAGGATGGTAAGGTACAGATCACTAGGCCTGATCAAACTCGTATGGACATCAGGTTAGCTAAAACCTTGGTCCTTATCCTAGTCGTTTTAATCATATGCTGGGGCCCTCTCCTTGCCATCATGGTGTACGATGTCTTTGGGAAAATGAACAAGCTCATCAAGACTGTCTTTGCCTTCTGTAGCATGCTCTGTTTGCTGAATTCAACAGTGAATCCCATCATCTACGCTCTGAGGAGCAAGGACTTGCGACACGCCTTCCGCAGCATGTTCCCCACCTGCGAAGGAACCGCGCAGCCCCTCGATAACAGCATGGAGTCTGACTGCCAGCACAAACATGCCAACAACGCGGGGAACGTGCACAGGGCTGCCGAGAGCTGCATTAAGAGCACAGTTAAGATTGCCAAAGTTACCATGTCTGTCTCCACAGACACAACTGCTGAAGCGTTGTAAGTCAGAGACTTCTCAGCGTTGTGAGAAAATGAGTTAGTTTAAAAAAAAAAAAATCAACAACAGAAAAAACCAAACCCGTGGCTTAACGTGTTTGTACCCTCCTGTAATATTTTTTTGGTTTGTCATTGTAAGCTGAGCAATGATTGTATTAAGAGCATTGCCATCAGCCAGTTCTTCAGGTTTTACAATTAGGGATTCAAGCTAACTTTTCAAAAGTTTTTTTCTCTAAAAATGTTTATTGAATAATAGTATGTTTCCTGAAAGAGCACAGAGAAAATACCAGGTTAGCAATGATTCCTTTTGGGGATGTGAAGAAAAATGGTGAAACCTAACTGAAAACTAATACATCCTAAACCAACACCATCAAATAAGAAAAAAAGTCTTGTAACCATGCTGTTCATTTCAATGTGAAGTGTATTTCATGTCTGTAAGTAATAGGAGTTTTTGATTTTTCCCAAAAGCGACAGTGCTGAGTTTTAGAGGTTTTGTAAAACGTGTCGTGTCCTGTGAATTGTATGCTGTTTTATTATGTGTTATTGATATTTGTCTGATTAAACAAAGTGATAAGGTAGACTTCCGTGGAAATAATGTGAAACGTGTTATGTAACCCATTGAAAACACTTACTGTATTTGAAGAATTCCTACGAGCTATTTTGGAAATTTTACACTTCTAGTGGTCTTCTGTGGACTTAGAGGAGAGGCTTTGTGTTCTTGTACTAAAATTATTTCCCCACTACCTTTTACTTTCACATGCATACGAGAGTAACAGCAACAAAGGAATAGAGGAGGAATGTAAGAGAGGAATGCACTGGTTCAGACTTTTAAATGACACTGCGTTTATACAGAAGGACGTTTATGGTTGTACAGACTATCGCCCTGCTCTTGGGCATTGCGTGAATATGAACACTGAAAAGTGAAGGTCCCGGATATTGGCTCCTTTAACGGGCTGCTGGTTTTAAGCCACGTGCTGGTGCTGGACCACTGAAGACAGCATGTGTCAGACTCAATGTGCGATGTTATCACTGTGCAGTCAATGTATACTTGAAGTGTGTCGCATTCCTGTATCCCAGGTTTAAGCAGTTTCAGAGCCTGAGATGCCAAACTCCCATCTTCACTAAAAGAGGAGGAAATATTGTCAGACTTAGACATTTTCTTATTGCGTGAGCGTGTATATAAATAAATATCTATGTGTGTGTACGTGTGTGTGAGTGTGCGTGTGTGTAGGTATACTAATCAGTGTGAGTCATGGTAGCATAACTAAGATAGGACACTACGACCAAATGTAAACTGTATTTCTTGTTGCACGCTTTGCACATGAATTCTGTTTCTAAAATTGAGTTCTTCCAACTGATTACTGATGAAAGTACCGTATTAAGAATATTCTGATCCACTTTTGAGAGGTGTATCCATGTGCTAGAGAAAGCAACCTTTAAGCTGTACTTGAGAATAAGGGGAAACGAGGCAGAGCATAGCATGAGCCCGCACTGACATCTGCAGTGGCTGTCAATGGTGTTCCTGAAAACTGAGAAAGGCAGAAATAAATGATAATTTGTTTTAAAGCTGTCAGTATTTAAATCTGATTCAAATCTGAAATGAGGTGAGTCTCACTGTGAAACCAGGATACAGATGACAATGTTTGACAGTATCAGCTTCAAGGAAGAAGATATTGAAGGAAAATGGTGAATCTGTTCTGTGGTGGGATTGTTTCTGCTGCCTGGGACTTTCACAAGGAGCATGTTACCGGCTAGTCTTTGAGGCATGGATATTCTGTAATTCCATTCTGAATCAGAAGGTCTGGGGTCCTCTTCTCTGCTGCCTTCCTTTTTTGGATCATTTCCTCACCCTTCTTTTGGCTGATTTTTGCCAAATTAGCTGCAAAGGTGGCTTAGCGCGTTAGCTGCCTGATGCTTGCCGCAAGAAGGGTGACTCCCTTCACGGCACCAGGTGAGTGGAGCCAAATCCTGCTGCCTGTCCTTGGGGTTACATAGGAAGAGAGAGAGGGGCAGCAGCCATGGTGTCCCCATGGTGTTTCTGATACCTCAGTGCAGACCAGAGCAGCCAGTAGCGCAACTGTCCTAGCCAATTTCAGCCAGTGCCTCTGCGGGGGCATAAGTGGCTCCGAGTCCGGGCCTGGTGAGGGGTGGCATGTCGTAAAGATCTCATCAGACGAGGTGCCAAGCAGCAGCTGGAAGACACAGGGGTATTTTCCTCCTCCATCCCTCTCCCCTGCAGCTTACCTGGGTGGTAGGACAGGGCATCATGCTCTTGAGGGGCACGTGGCAGCCAGCCAAAACCAGCGGATTGCAGAGGATTCCTGGAGGATGTCAAGTCCTCCTTCTGAAAAATCTTTCTCATATCTAGGTCTAGTCCATCCTAAAGCAGTCCTCTTGGAGGAGGGGGGGAAAGCCCATTTGAAATATAATGGTATTTTAAGAGCCATTTTTGAAACTGTCTTCTTGTGAATTAAATGCAAACTTTGTGGACTTATGTTGTGCATTCAAGTTCTAAATTTTACATGATAAATCATGGGACAATGGGGCTGTCTTGGCACTTAACTTGGTGCTTACTGATATAATAAGAAATAGCATCCTGTGAAACGTTACCGTCTATCATCAGTATCTTCATTTGCATAATGAGTTTTTCTAAAGCTCTGGGAACAGTGTTGGTTCACTTAGAACCATTTATTAAAGAGGTGGCAACAATTTCCCTACGTGTTGTGCACTAAGTAGACCTACTCTTTCATTAGAAAAATGTGCTGCCATTTCAAGATAAGCTGTACTTAAACTTCAGCTTTAGGTATTCCTAATTTGCAGTTGCCTACCTTCACTTAGTGATAGCACAGCCAAATGGTACTGTGTTCCACGGTCACCCACACTGTCATCATCAACCAACCAACATAGCTGCAGTTACGTACATGTACCAACTCCAAGTGTCGCGTACCTACCGAGAGGACCATCTATGTCACATGTGTGCAGAGTTTTAGATTCTCAACAGTCTAATTGTATATTTGTATAATATAATCTCAATGCTGTGCAATCACTATACACATCTTCTTGCACTGGCCTTTCGATGAAAATTTTAGTGTGTCTGTTGTGAGATAGGCAGCGCATTTTACCTGCTGTTATTGGGCTGAATGTATGTAAATAAGTGAAAAATAATAAAAAAAAAATCATCTGTACAAGCAGTGGCCTAAAAAGTCTGTAATTGTAGACTGGGACAATTGTTGAAGTTGCTGTGACATCTCAAATACTACCTTTGAATAAACTGTTTACAGGGTCTCTTGGGATGCTATTTCATAGTGAAAGGAAACTCTTTCCTTGTGATAATATGAGGTAAAGAAATTGGATTACCTGAGCTTTTTATTTCCAGTGTTTCAAAGTGGAGAACATAACTCTTTATTGTCTGTAAATCTAACATTATTACTTCCTCTTAGAAGAATATTGTATCATTAGATGTTTGTTTGAGCTGGTAACATCCTTGCAACTGCTGCAATATTTTTCATTAGCAAACTGTATAATAGTTTGTTCACAAGTACTGTTCAGATTGTCATGAAAAGTAGCTTTGACCATTTACCTACCAGTAGCAGAATAGTATTTCTGTAAGATTTCCAGTGTATTCCTACCATATCATATTTTATTTCTATAATGTAATTAAACTGTTATTTATTCAAAGAGAAAAAGTATTCCTCTACTTCTTTGTTTTCCAAATTTTGAGATAACTGAGGAAGCCACGTGATGATGCTGCCTCATCCCACAATCTGGTGCTCTACGTTTTGTTTATAAGTTTGTCTGTCAGATTCTGAAACAACTGCTTAAACAACTTGACAACAGGTTGTCAAGCTTCGTGGGTTTTAATTGTACATTGATATGTTTGAAGGAGGAGGTAGATTATCAATTTTGTATTTGTGTATTCAGCACTACGGAGACAAGAGAGAAATGACATAGTTAAAACTGAATCTCCTGTTTCGTTATGTAGGCAATTTCCCCTTTCCTCTGTATTAGCCAAAATGCAATAAATCTCTTTTGCCTTCCTCAGATGCATACGTTTGCACAGAGATGTCACATTAAGACAAAGCCGTATACTTTGGAAAAACAAAACACAAAAGAGCAGGAGAAAGGAATACAAACAAATAGTGCTGCCAACAGGAATGGTGACCTAAATTAGTTATTGGTGGTGTAAATGTAATCAAACACTTGAGACAAACAACTAGTCTAGTTTTGGCCAGTGCCAGTGGGGGCAGAGTTATGGGTGTAGGGGGGAATGATGAAGTGGTCCAACACCACTTTGGATTGCACAAAAGGTTGAACAGAGAGCAAGCTCAGACATGCCACTGCCTACTGGGCACACTGAAGTGCTCCCACCACTGCTCATCCACAACTGAAAGGAAGGGTTGAAAAAACACTTACAATCTGTTTATGGTCCCACATGCCAAATCCAAAGCCTACTAAATGCTGTAGAAAGGTCCCTGCCCATTTCAAAGGATCAGTTTTCCATATGACCTAATCTCAGATTCATGTTACTTGAGCAATTTTCCTTCTCCACATATGTGGTTTGAAAACAGTGGAGGTCCTTAGGGGATGAAGTGAGTATGTCCTGGGGCCTTGGATCATGGTTGTGCCACAGTGTATTTATTTTAAAAATTAGGTCACTGATGAATTGAAAAAGTCTTGGCAAAACAAAAGCAACTAGAAAGGAAAGATTAGCTCTTAATCTTCAACTGCATGTTACATTTAAATGAAGAAGTCTGGATATCTCTGCTGAAAGCTGTCACTTCCAAAACAGCCAGGAGACAATTCCCACTATATTTGCATGCGCACTAGAAAATAAGGGCTATACTGCCACAAACCGACAGTTCCTCTTAATGGTATCACCTAAGTCTAAACAACACAAGAGAAAATAATGACAACTTTCCAGGCAACTGCTTTCCTACCCTATACCAGCTCAGGAAGTGTGCCGGCAAATATACTGTCATCGTTTCAGCCTTTCACATTAACATCCATTGTCATTTCCGTTCTTCTGACAGTTGTTTTAACAATTCACAATATCATCATGCACACACATCATCAATAAAACATCTGGGTTTTGTTGGTTTTTTTTAAAAAAAAAATGTTTTGTCTTCAGTGAAAGTCCAGCTTTGGCTTGACTTAAAAACTAAATCATAATATCTGGGAACAGGTTATAAAAGAAAAAAAAAAATTGCCTGGGTTTAAGAAAGCATAGGGTAGTTTTTTTTATTTGACACTTTATAATACATGTCTTCCTCTCTTCTGCCTTTGTCCATCAGTCTTTTTAGGTAATGGATATAAAGAGTATCAACAGTTTTCTTTAAATAGCAGCACAACACATGAAACACATGATTGCCTTTAACAGGCCTCCTTAATATGAACGGTCATCTAATACTAGTCTTTAAAAATTTGGTTAGTGAAAAGAGTGATAATAAGCCCAAGGTAATCTTAATGACTAGGTGTGACATGCCCTGGTATTGCTTTCCAATAAATCATCTTTGGTATTCAGAGCAGCACTCAGTTTAATGTTAAAGCATATTAAGTTATGGAATCCTGTATCAATAAAGACACTAAGAATTTTTTATTGACTTCAGCAAAAATTATATCTTGCCCCAGATTTTCAAACTATGACTTTGCATTTGGAAAGTGCAACTTTATATTCCATCGTGTTTGCATTTTCATTGATATTAAAACAAAGATGAAGCAGAATAAAGTACAGCCTCTATATTCATTAGGGTTTTTTTTTACCTCCAAGATAATCTGTTTTGAATTCTAGTAGGTCAATGTAGAATCATAAAGCTTGGCAGGAGTTCAATGGACTTGTCATGGGAGTGAAGCAATTTATTTATCCATATGTGTGCCGATGCGGTAGAGAACATAATGAACAAAACTGCTCTCACAATATTGCTGACAGAGTCATTTCCTGACCACTTCCACTGATGCCGTTTTGATGCTGCTTTCTTTCCCTCTCTCCATGTATATGCATATATGTGTGTGCATGGTGAAAACAGGCTATACACACATTCAAAAATCTTTCCCCAAAATAGTCTCTCTACATGTAGTAATAATAATAATAATAATAGTAATAATAATGATAAAAAATGTGAAACAACTTCACACCCACTGATTTAACAAAGGGGAAACCACTTCTGCCATTTATAGCCATAACTGGGTCAATCAAGCCTTGCCACT